TGCTGAGCACAGAGCTTTTCTTGTGCACCTTCTGGAAGAAGAAACGAGAGCATGTCTCGTCCAGCTGTGCTGTATGGTGCGGACTCCGGACCATTTGGAGGCCTCAGAGACAAAGAGCGAGGCTTGCTGGTTCTTCACCTCCTGGAGATCCTCTGTGACAGCTCTCACTGTCGCTGTCGCTGTCGCTTTCTCTCTCCTGCTTTTGAACACCTTTGAGAATCGAGAACCTCTTGATGTTCCCCTTGACTGTTACCCACCAGTCTGCTGGAGACTCAGAGGGGCTTCATGGTTCTCCAACCTGTCTAATCCCTTTTGAGCTCCTTTGTGTTCTGGGGTCAAGTTTTACATTCAACTTCACTGTTCCCTTGCTGGCCTGCTGGTCATCCTGTAGGTGACACTTAGCCAGCAGAAGGCAGCGGTCAGAGAAGAACATTGGCTTGACCTCGGTGGATCTGACAGAGAGCGTGTGGGACACAAACAGGAAATCTATCCTTAACAGACCTGTCTCACCGTGACCAGATGTATCTACACTGCGCTCTGTCTGTAGGGGTGCTGATGATGTTGTGCTTGGCAACTTTAACAGTTTCCATCAGCAATCTGGACGTGGAATCCAGTTTGCTGTCAGCTCCTCCGGATCGTCTAGCTGCATTGATGATGCGGTTGAAATCTCTAGCCAGAATGACCGGCCTGGATGGCACCAGCAGAGTGGGAGCTGTTGCAGGACATCCAGTCACTTACTCTTTACCATCAGGGAGTACGTGTTAATTAATGTCAGGTGAGCGTTTCTGTACATAACGTCTGCTATGAGAATGAACTTGCCCACCACCCCCTTAACCTTGGAGATGATGAAGTTGCCTCTTCATAGCAAAATACCCAGGCCAGAGGAACAGCAGTTGTTTCCTCCTGACCAAATTGATGGCACATAGGCCTATAAGTTCGATCATTTCCTATAGCTGATGAGGTGTGGTACCCTGCGCTCCTGCAGAAATAGGAGGTCTGCTTTGACATTGGTCTGGTAAGCCAATATGGAAACAGGTTGCATACTGGACTTAACGCTACACACTGGCAATTTTAAAACCCATTTTATACTGGCAATTTTAAAACTCGTTTTATGTTAGCAACTTTAAAACCCATTTTTAAGATTTGATAAAATTACCCATATAGCCAGTGACCGTTCACCCATGGGTTTCATCACTGGGGGAGTCCCTGCATCCCCTTAGTGTGGCCAAACTGTTGGACACTGTCAGTGCCGTGCTGTTCCTCTCTGGGGACACTGTTGTGATTTGGTGTCATCAGGGTAAAGACAAAGCCAGGAAGGCCCAGTTCTGAGTCCGACAGAGGGGCTGTCATGCTTTAATTGAGCGCTGTTGCTTCCGGTTTTCCGGAGCTCTGGTATGGTGGGTATGACTGGTATTTCTAGATTGGGGGTTGCACCTCTCCTTCCCCCTCTGTGGAGCTGTGCCTCTCTTTTTTTTGTTGGTGGCTGTCCCTCCACACAGCTTCATTGTCCGAGGAGCTGCTGGTGTGTCTGTTATTCAGCTGTCTCTTTCCAGTTCTCTGTTTAGCTCCAGGGAGATACTATTCTAACAATACAACCTGAAAGCATCTATGAACTCATCATCTTGGCTAGTTTTACTTTTTTGTTGTCAAATTTGTTTATGCTTGGTACCAAAGTCTCATTAGCTGATACGACGTGAACTGTAATCAGATCTGTAACAATGATTTTATGATAATATGCTTGGTCCAGAACTTCTGTCAGTTCTTGATTTAAAATCTCTGTTTGTCTTTCCCTACTCTTCCCATCCCCCATTTTCTGTCTCTTGCTGTGTGTGCCAGAAGTGCAAACAAACAGGAAATCCAGGATTAAGTAGCTTCTAAAATTACATGTGTTCATTGCCGTTTTTGGCAGCAGTGGCTGATAGTGTAATCAGCAGCTCAAGGTCCTGGTACCAATCAATCAACACATCACAGCTTCTCTGTGACAAAACATACACCCGCTTTTATCATTCAGGGTGGATACAAGTCTCAGGAAATTCTTTGGCACAGAACAGATTTAAATAAAGTACCTCCTGCTCACTGCATTATTTTTAGCCAGTTGTCTTTTGATCCCCCTTTCTAGAGTTAGAGTTAGCTAACAGACAAGTTGCTCTTAGTATATTGGAAATGTAACCCTTTCGTCTGCTACCTGGTTTGAGTGGATACCCAGTTATGGAAAAATAACATTAAGGATGAGTTCTAGTATTAAGCATTTTTTGAAAAGAAAATTGATGCTCATTCTTTTTTATTCTTTCATGGAATCTGAGAATCACTAGCAATGTCTGCATTTGTTGCTCATAGGTAATTACTCTTCGCAAGGCAGTGGTGAGTTGCTTTCTTGAACACTACAGTTTACATGAATAAAAGCAAAATATGGCAGTGCTAGAAATCTGAAATAAACTCTCAGAATGCTGGAGAAACTCAGTGGATCTAGAGAGAAACAGAGACAATGTTTTGATTCTGATATGATGTTATTCAGATAATTGCCAGACTGCTGAGTTGCTCCAGGATTGTTTGTTCCAGACTATATGGTGTGCGTACTCCAATCAGGTTATTCGCAAGGGAGTTCCAGGATTTTGACCCAGCGACATTGAAGGTACAGTGATACAACAATTGTTGTTTTTCCAACAATCAATAATGGTTTCATGGTCATTAGATTCTTAATTCCAGTTTTTTTATTAAATTCAGATTCCACCATCAGTCATGGCGGGATTTGAATCCGGTTTGCCAGAATGTGTGTCTGGGTCTCTGGATTAACAGTGCAGTGATGATACCACTAAGCCATCCCCTTCCCATGAAGGTCATACTTATGAAATACTTCAACCTTGTATATCACATTTATTCCACGCCTCCCCACCCTGCCGCTTCACGGGCGGGGACATTTCTGAAACCTCCTTCTCCTGATGCCTGCCACCATTTACACCTGGATGTGGCAGGACTGCAGAGTGTAGATCACATTAGTTTTTGGATCGCTTATTTCTGTCTATTGCATTCATTTTCCACTGATGCCATGCAAGTAGTCCCATGTTATAGCTCCACCAAATTGACAGTTCAATTTTAAATATGCCTGATGCTATTCCTGGCATATGCTCCTGAACTGTTCCTTGAATAAACGTTGATATCCTGATTTGATGGTAATGGTAAAGTAGGGGATATTCTAGGCACTGATATTGATTGAGATTGTGGTTGAGTACAATTCTGTGACCTCAGGCCCACAGTGCCCAATGGATTCCCAATCTGTGCCCGTAGTGTTCAGGGAGGTGTAGATTAGGTGGGTTATAGGGGGACGGGTTTGGGTGGGATGCTCTGAGGTTCGGTGTGGACTTGTTGGGCCGAAGGGCCTGTTTCCACACTGTGGGGATTCTATGAATTTGAACTCCGTTCCATTAGCACAGTGGCAATGCCCTACTACGCATTGAAGGGCATCCTGAATGTGAAGACTGGGAGAGAAATTTTTCTTTTCACAGATTTTTGGAAGTCTGTTCCTTCAATTGACACACCTGGGTGTGCAAACTGAAACAGTAACTTTGCTTCAGAGGTTGTTCCTAGGCAACCTTTATTACACGGCTCAATCTCTTTTAAACAAAGTTTGTCAAACAATTAAAGCCATAAAACCCATTTTTTTATGTCTCTCAAAAGCTTTGCCTTGCATTCTTTTCAAACATCAATTTGACTGTTGGAAACAATTGATGTACCACAGCATACTAAATGTTTGGATCATCAGTTCCAAGACATTTCACGATAAACTTTTCAAAATCCAGAAATTGTCCAAATCCAGCCAATTTTTCCAACTCCCCCTCTCAGATATTTTTAAGGACTATGTATTCCCAGCAAACCTAAAGTGGGAAAGAAATGAGTCTGGAGCATCACCGTGTGCAAGAACCCAATGCTTCTAGAAATTAGAACATGGAAATAATGCAATGTCCAGCTAATCTGTGTTGACTTTTTAATTTTTTTGAAAGAAATTAGTTTGAATTGTACTTGCCTACTATCTCCTGTCAAAGATTATGTCATTGTCCATCTGCCTACTCTTGAAGTTTGTTATAGTGGCTGAGGCAGAAACTAACCTGGAAAGTGAATTATACACTCTGAATTCTTTGTGAAGAAGTTCCTTCTGTTGTTAATTCTAATTCTTTGACAGTGGAAACCCATTGTGCTTCTCTGTTAATTTGCAGAGGTGCTTTCCATTTTTGAAAATCCCACAGATGAAAAAGAAGGTCATCTTGCATTTTCTGACTAAAAAAAACTGTAATTAACAAGAAACTGAAAAATAAAATTGAGAGGAAAATAAATCAATTCATCTTCATTTGTTATTGACCATATATTGATACCAGGATCTAATCAATGCAAACTTCTGTTGAAAAGGCCCTACTAGATCTCTCCGCTATGGGGGAAAAGCAAGTAAGAGAGCAGAGATTCAAAGTGATGTGCAAACACAGCAATGGTGACGTTAGAAAATACTCTATCAAACAGCGAGTTGGGAGGATATGGAGTGTCCTGCTTAGAAATGTGATGGAGACAGGTTTGATCGAGACATTCAAGAGGGCATTGGATGATTATTTGGATAGAAACAGTAGGCACGGATATGGGAAAAAGTCAGGAGATTGGCATTAGGTAATAGGACCCATGCAGGCATGATAGACTGAATGGCCTTCTTCTGTTGTAACAATTCTGTGAGTCTCTGGTATGTTGTGTTGGCACAGTTGAGACAACTTTGCTATCTTTGCTTGAATTTACTGTGAACTTTAGTTCAGCAAGACATTAACCTATTTTTCTAATCAACCTGTTCAGATGTTATTACACATCTCTGGAGCAGGTGGGACTTGAACCTAGGCTTCCAAGCCTAATGGTAGGGACACTACCACTGCACCGCAAGATGTTGCCTTCAATTTACTGAGGGCACTCTGATGCAAATTTGTATAAGGTGGACTCTGTCTCTTCACAGTTGTTAATATATTTTTCAGGTGTTCAGTGGAAAACGTCCAGAATCTGAATTGCAGCCTCAGGCAGGAGCAACATTTCGCAAACTACCAACTCCTCCACCACCAGCTGAAGGAAACCAGACACTGACGTGTTTGATCACTGAGAAGGATCTAACCCTTCATGAGAAATTAGGTGATGGGTCCTTTGGAGTTGTGAGACGGGGTGAATGGCAGTCACCTTCTGGAAAAATTGTAAGTACAGGTTTACAGGGTGATGAGTCTTGAAACCTAGATTTAATAGAAAAATGAACATTACTAATTGAAGCTAATATGGTCTAAATGATTGCCTGCTTTTCATTGTGAAGATATACCTTCATTATATGCTTTTGGGTTTTTTTAATTCATGGGATGTATGGTGTCACTGGTTGGGTTTGCATTTATTGCCCATCCCTAGTTACTCTTGCAAAGGTGGTGATGAGCTGCCATCTTGAATGCTGCAGTTCATTTGATGTAGGTAGATCCACAGTACTGTTGGAGGGTAAGTCCCAGTATATTGCACAGCAACAATGAAGGAATAGTGAAATATTTCCAAGTCAGGATCATAAGTGGTTTAGAAGGGAACTTGCAAGCGGTTTTGTTTCCATGCATTTGCTGCCCTTGCCTTTCTAGATGATAGTGCTGTTAGTTTTGGTAAGTACTGCCTAAGCAATCACAAGATCTATCTATTCTAAGCTTTACCTTGCTGCCAGATCTGTGCCCATTTTCTTTATCTTTTTTTTCCCTCTCCTCTTCAGCCCTGAACTCTCCTGTATTATTTCATTCTCCTATGATGCTGTCATGAGGAGATTGAGTTTATTTCTCCTTCTGAGGTACTTAATTCCTCACTTCCAATCCCTGTGTCAATCATTCGTCTTTGCACAGCTTTCCTTCTTTTCCATTGTTCTCCAAGACTTAACTTCGTTCTTATCCAAGAACAATTTTGCTTCTGTGCTGTTCTTTGACCACTCTCCAAGGGCTCATTGAGCCATTCATCATTGTATGCTTATAGACCCCATTCTACTATTTTTCTCTCTTTGACTTGTCATATGGGGGCCACTTGGAAGTAATATTACCAATCCTCTTCCCGTCCCATTCATCCTTTCCGCTTCCAATTCTATGGAATCTACTAATAGATCTGTGCATCTCCTTCCAGAATATTAGTTTATTTGTGGACAAGGCCTCTTCCATTCTCACCAGTGGAAATTAAATAATTGCATTGGTATCATGGACTTATTGGAAACAGGACAATTGATTGATTGCATTTTGCTATTTACCGAAGTTTTAACACCTGGTGTACTTTCTACATCAGCCCATTCAAACTGCACAGTGGAACTGCATACCTGCTCATTCAATTCTGAATATAGTTGAATAAAGCTGGAATTAATATGGTTTAACAATATGCATGAAGATATTCCCAGTTGCTCAGGCTAGAACTAGTGGCCATTGCCCTGTATTATACAACATAGTTGCTGATAAAATTAATAGGGAATTCAGGGGTAACTTCTTCACGGTGAATATATGAGATAAAAAGCATTGATGGATTTAAAGGAAAATGAGGTAAGTATACAAGTGAAAATGAAAAATAGGGGTAGAAATTAGAGTGGATAGAAACTCATGTGAACCATAGACACCGATAGGAACCAGTTTAGGAATCAGCTTCAGTGAATTTCCTTTGAACACCTGCAATTGTCAGTACATTCTTTTTTAAACACTGGGAAACCCAAACTGGACACAGTTGCTCCCAGCGTGGCTCACCGTGGTCTGGCATAATTGTGACTCCAGACTCCAGACCCAGTGATTGAGCAGCAATAAATGCTGGCTAAACCAGTGACGCCTACATCACATAAATGATTAAAAACTTGCATTACAAGTTAGTAAGGCTATAAAAAGCAACCAAAGTACAGGGCATAATCACTAGAAGGATAGAATTGAAAAGTAGGGAAATTGTGCTAAACCTGTATCAAAGTTAGCCTACACTGAAGAGCACTGCATGTGTTTCTAGTTCCAATGTTATAAAAAGGACATAGAGGCACTGTAAAGGATCCAGAAGGTTTTCAATGATGTCAGAAATATATGGGTATTTATATCAAGAAAGATAAAACAGGCCGAGGGGTGACCTAATAGAGATATTTAAAATGCATGACAGAAGGCCATCAATATAATAATCATCAAGAAATGCAAAAGGAATGAGAATGTTGTACATCCTCAGTGGTTAGCACTGCTGCCTCACAGCGCCAGGGACCTGGGTTCGATTCAGCCCTCTGGCAACTGTCTGTGTGGAGTTTGCGCATTCTCCCTGCATCTGCAAGGGTTTCCTCCGCGTGCTCCGGTTTCCTCCCACAGTCCAAAGATGTGCAGGCTATATGGATTAGCCATGGAAAATGCAGAGTTACAGGGATAGGTAGATGGGGAGAGTTGTTGGGCCGAATGGCCTGTTTCCAAACTGTAGGGATTCTATGATTCATTCTATGGAACTTGGTACCCACATGGTGTGCATGGAGGTAAATGGTTATAGATACATTGAAGGGAAAACTGGATAAGCATATTAGGGTGAAGGAAATAAAAGATTATGATAGATTTAGATGAGAAAAGATGAGAGGAGGTTCCACTGGAGCACAAACATTGTCTTGGACTGAATAGCCTGTTTCTGTACTGCATGTATGACTTACAGTAATCCCAGAGGAGGTATAGACTGGATTATATTTCATAAAGGTAAGTGGTACTTGAAATCAATCTTTCCTTACTTTTTACCAGATAAATGTGGCTGTGAAGTGCTTGAAAACTGATGTATTAAACCAACCTGAAGCTCTTGATGATTTTATACGGGAAGTCAACGCTATGCATTCTCTTGACCATCTCAACCTGATTCGCTTGTATGGTGTTGTACTAACCCATCCTATGAAAATGGTAAGGAAAAATTTCTCATAAATCGCAGAGAAACTGTCAAAATTATTTAGGTTTCATTTCTACTTCTTGTCCTCTACCCTGCAAGTACTTTTGTTTAAACTTGCTGCTGGATTATTGTTGGATACTGCCCCTGTTACAAAATGGCTGTAATTTTGCACGATACATAAATTGACAGCAACAGTGCTATATCTGTAATGACATGGAGCAGCTGCAATTTGTGCTCCCACTCATGCTTCCTGACATGTCTTAACTGCAAGTTCAGCTGTGTAAGATTTCCATTTTCAACTTTTGCTGAGTTGAGCTGCCAAATTAATGCCTGTTGCGTTTAATTTGAAGTAGTCTGATATTGGGGATTTGTGCCATTGGGAACTGGATGCAGACTGACAAAACTTGTTCATTTAATAGTCAGTGTAAGATGGGAGCACTGATCCTTACTGTTAGCATTAGAATAAAAACCATGGGAAGGTCTTAATCTCTGCTATTCCCAAGTACTCCAGTTCCCTTATCGAGTCAGGAAACTCAACTTTTTTCGAAATGTTGGCTCTGCTTTCTTCCCACAGACCCTGCCAGAATTGAGTTTTGCCAGCAAATTCTGTTTTTGTTTCAGATCTCCAGCATTCGCAATTTTTTGTTTTAATAACTTTTGCCCAGCCTGATTTTAAAATAGATTACTAGGTGTAATGACACTGCATCACTAATTTCTGTTACTGAACATCAAGATTGCAATATCTCATTTCATTAAGCCATGATGTGGAGGTGTCAGTGCACGTGAAGAAAGAGCAAGACTACAAAAGCTTGTGTCTCCAAATAAACCTGTTGGACTATAACTTGGTGTCGTCTGATTTTTGACCATTATAACCTGGTGTCGTATGATTTTTGACCATATTCCATTAAGAATGCAAATAGTGTCAGGCTGATGTCATGTTTTGCATTAATACATAAATTCCTTTAACATTTTCTTTCTTTCTTTCTTCAGGTTACTGAACTGGCTCCACTTGGTTCATTATTGGATCGTTTGAGAAAAAACCAAGGTTACTTCCTCATTTCTACATTGTGCCAGTATGCAATACAGATAGCAAATGGCATGGCTTACCTTGAGTCCAAGCGCTTCATTCACCGTGACCTGGCAGCTAGAAATATCTTGCTGGCCTCGAACGAGTTAGTGAAGATTGGAGATTTTGGACTCATGAGAGCTCTTCCACAGAATGATGATCATTATGTCATGCAGGAACATCGCAAGGTCCCTTTTGCTTGGTACGTCTGGGAAGTTGCTTGCAATAAATCATACCATCCATGCAGAACTGGAACCTGCACAATTCTAACATGCTTAGAAATGTGAAGGTTCCCCACAAATCATGGAAGAACTTACAGCAGCATTTATTTCATAAATTTTGTTTACAGAAGATTTATATAAATATATTTCATTTACATACATATATAAAAATGTCAGTGTGATAAAATCTATGTAAACAATTTATGATTTATATTACGTTTAAGTGCTTGTGTGCTCACAAGGAAAGGTGGAATTTTTAAGAATGTATTCATTTTTAATTGAATTGTGGACCTTATAACCTCACAAAACCTTGTAACCTCACAAAACTGGCCGGAAATATTTAGCCAACCTTGAAATACTCTTGGCATGGTGATTCCATAAGCTCAGGTTGTCCTAAGAAGACAGATTTGTGCCACTAAAGCTAATGTGCAGGCTTGTTGGGCTCCCAGAATACCTGTCTGTTATCAGGCCAAGCCCTTAGACTGGGTCCTGAGTAGTTTCTGCCTGTCAGAATGTGGCAGTGCAACGGGCAATTAGAATATAGTCTGTAAAGCATGTACAGGACTTCCTCCAGAGTCCCTACCACCTCTCTGTGGCTCAGCTAGAGGGCAGCAACAGAGAACAAACATGATCAGTGTGAGTGGGTGGAGTCTCTGGGCCAAAAGCTGAAGGTCCAGAACAAGCTATGAACAAGATAAAAGCTGATTGTGGTGAACGTAGTGATTGAAGAGGGGAGATGGGAGAAGCATAGGTTGATGATTAAACAGATAAAGGCTGGGAGGGAGTACCAGCTGTCTGATGTCAGGGAACACCTTTGCTGCAGCATGAACAAACACAGCTCCACATTTCAGGAGATGTACAGTGATTGCAGCAGCATTTACAGTGCTGATTTATTTCTAAGCAAAACTACTTTACTATCAAGTGAATGAATTGCAGTGGGTTATTTCTATTGGTATAATTTTAATGTGAATGATATTGAGAAGAAGTAGCTGTTATGAAATACAATCACATCCATCAATAGCACTAGTGTTAATTTGGCTGTTCCAAAATGCTTCTGCGAAGTTTTTTCTAGCTAACCTATTCAGAGATGTCATTGCACACTTCTAGTGCAGGGGGGTCTTGTATCCCAGCCTCCTGGCTTAGAGCAAGGGCGACCACCACTGTGCTACAAGAGCCCTAACAGTTCTGCTATGTAACTAGGTTAATGACAGCCTTGTAATTTATGGAGAATTTAATCAACTGTGCTTTCAATACCCATATTAAAGAACTATTGAACCTGTTACTGTACATTTGTTGATAAATTTTCACCGATTTCCATTAAATGCAATAAAAGTACTGAGTTGGGAATGTTCCTGAGGAAGGGTCATCAGACCCGAAACGTTAACTCTGATGTTTTCTTCACAGATGCTGCCAGACCTGCTGAGCTTTTCAGCAACTTCTGTTTTTGTTCCTGGTTTACAGCATCCACAGTCCTTTTGGTTTTTATTTGGTGTGAATTAGGACTTGGTCAGCAGCATTTTGAATGGTTTTAAGTTTGGTAGAACGTGGGAGGCCAGCCTAGATCGCTTTGGAATAGTCAACTGTAGAGGTAACAAATGAATGCATTAGGGTTTCCGCAACATCCGCTGAGACAATGGAGGAGTCACACAATGTTATGGAGATGGAAATGGGTAGTTTTCATGGTGACATGGATATATGATCAGAAGTTCATCTTGGGATCAAATATTCCACTGACATTGCAAATAGTCTATTGAGCTTAAGACAGTTGCCTGCAGGAGGGATGGAGTCATCGACAAGAGAGCAGAGTTTATTGTCGGAACTGTAGACATGATGGCTTCAATCTTCACAACATTTAATTGAAAGAAATTTCTGTGTGTCAAGTCTGAATAGCATTGTGATAACAGTGGTGAAGTTGTGCGAGATGGTGGTGAGCTGGGTACAATCAGCGTATATGTGAAAACTGATGATGTGGTTTTTGCTGATATCACCAAAGGAGAACAGGAGAGGGCCAAGGATAGATCCATAGGGTTATCAGCAATAACATTGCAAGTGATACTCTTATTACAATTAGATGAGAAGCAAGTGCAACCCATCCAACTGGCAAACAGTGGAACAGTGGTTGCAGAGGGGTGATGTAATCAACTGTATTAGAGGCTGCAGGTTCATCTAGAAGAATGAGAAGGAGCTATTTCACCTTTGTCATAGTCACTTAGAAAGTCATTTGCTACTTTGGCAAAAGGCAATTTTTGTTTCTTTGCCAGAGCGAGAAACCTGACCACAGGGACCCAAGTGTGGAATTCCAGGAAGAAGAATTGAACTAGAGGGCAGCTGTACCTGAAGCGAGAAAATTGTTAATCATAGCAATTAGAATGGGAGTGAGGAAGGAAAGTTATGTCATCAGCAGTTTAGTGAAAATTAAGTCTTGGGAGCAAGCTTTGTGTATTGTGAAGAAGATAACCTGTGAGAAGGCAGGAGGCAGGTGAATGAGAAACTAGAAAACAAGGAATTCAGGGCTGGGTGAGGGAAATAACCTTCTTTTAAATTTCACCCAATGAGCTGACGAGAAGAGGCAGCTATCAGAGTCATACAGCATGGAAACAGATTTGTCTGCACCTACTAATATCCCAATCTGACCCAGTCCCATATGCGAGCCTATATCTATCCAAACCCTTCCTATTCATGTACCCATCCAGATGCCGAGATGATATCAGTTGTTACACCTCACTGAGGTAGTGTGGTGGAAATCGAGCCCCAGTACTTCCAGGATTGTCACAAAAATAAACGATTTTATAAAAATAAGCAAATCCCCCAATTTGCCTATCTCTTAGACCCAGATTGACAGATAACATGCACCAGGTTTCTGTACTTAACAAGAATTACTATTAATTAAAGATAAATAGATTCTAGCTACAGGTACTTAATTATGAATCATTGACATAGAACTCTACTAGTTAAAACTTTAACTTCCTTACAAAACTCTCCCTACACACGTACAGACAGTAAAAGAAATATGGAGAGAATGGAAAGATTGGGAGCAAGTTCAATGGTCCCTGACAACAGAATTCACCGAGATGATACTTTTGGCTTGTCAGAACTTGCTGTTTCTTAATTTTCCATCCCAGTTGCTTGTAGGGGTCACAGGTGACTGCTTCACAATTACAGTCTCTGACTTATTGGTTAAAAGCTACAGCTTACAGTAACTGATGAGTGGCAATAAACTGACTTTGTTCAGGCTGGAGGTGTCCTTTACTGCAGAAGAAAGAACTGCACCTTCCATTCTGGATGTCCAGCTGTTCTGACCAAACATCCACACCCATGAGCTGTTCAGCTACTTGGGATCCAAAAATCTTGATTGGCAGGCAGAAAGTCTTTGTCATCTTTGTCACCATTCCACAGACTAATTGTTGCTGGTCAGATCTTATTTTTGAATGCATTCCCTGGTTCCAACTCGTCTACAATCTTTCTCACACTGGTTGAAGAAGCAACAGTATAAACAGCACTTACAATGAGTGTCAGATAACTTGCTAAAAAGGTATGGTCTTTACACAATATCTTTTTCTTGATTTTAATTATGATAAGACAAAAATCCATGGACCGTTATTCCGGCTGAGTCACTGGAATCAAGCGTATGTCAATGCCCTATAACACTGAATCAAGCAGTGTGTATAGGGATGAGTGGGAGGCCATACTCACGAAGCTGAGCAAGGCTTTTGGCAGTTCTGTTTGTTTGAATTCCTGCCCTATGATGCTGGGAACTGGTGTTCATTCACTCTCTCGGGCGAGTAAGGCATTCATGTAAAAATTCAGCCCCTGAATATTTGTTCATCTAATACCACTTTGGATCTCTCGCTTTTGGGTGGTGCCATTGCACTTTGTAAAATGATAGCGGAAAAGCTTACATAAATTAAAAAGGGTTTGTTGGTATTCCACGTAGTAGTATTACTTATGTGCATTACCCTATGGTTCTTTGTTTTAATTATTTATCCCAATTGTGGTATTCAACCTTTAGTTATTCCTTCCAGGAATTTTCATACCACCACCTTGATTTTATCGCTGGGAATCTAAATGTTCCTGTAGCTGTATTATTCATTTATTGTGTTCCATTAATTTTAAATAAACACACCGCTGGATTGTATGTTTAGAAACCTATTCTTCATACCGATATCAAATATCTTGGTGTCTTTATTTTGATAGGTGTGCCCCTGAAAGTTTGAAGACTCGAACATTTTCACATGCCAGTGATACCTGGATGTTTGGTGTCACTCTGTGGGAGATGTATACCTATGGCCAGGAGCCTTGGATAGGCCTCAATGGAAGTCAGGTAGTGGATGTATCCTTTTGTTTTTGTGTGCGTATGAAGTTCTGAATTTATGCCTATATGTGACTCAAAAGTGCCTGCACCTATATGCCTCTAGTTATCTTCCTGCTATTTCCTCTGTCTCCGTTCATCTATTTAAGTTTATCTATATGTATGTTTCTGTACAGATAGAAGATTTTTAAAAAATTAATTCATGGGATATGGGTATCACTGGCTAGCCCAGCATGTATTGCCCATGAGAAGGTGATGGTAGTCAGCCTTCTTGAACCGTTGCAGTCCATATGATGTCAATGCATGCAATGCTACTAGGCAGTGAAGCTTCAAGGTTTTGTCCCAGTGAAAAGGAGCAATGACATATCTCCAAATCAGTTGTGTGGCTTGGATGGAAACTTGCAGGATGTTGGTATTCCTTTGCTTTGGCTGTCCCAGTTTTTCCAAGCAGTAGGTAATGTCAAAGGAGCTTTAATGAGTTGTTGCAGTGCATTCTATGAATGATACACACTGCTGGTACTGTGTATCAATGGTGAAAGAAGTGATTGTTGTAGGTGTTGACCGTGGTGTCATTCAACCAGGTTGCTTTACCGTGGTTTGCATTGAGCTTCTTGAATGTGGCTGGAGCTGCATTCATCCAGGCAAGTGAGAAATATTCCTTGACACTCCTAACATGTGTCTTGTAGATGGTGGACAGACTTTAAGGAGTTTGGAGGTGAGTTGCTGCAGAATTCCCAGGTTTGGATCCTGAGTCATAGCCACAGTATTTATTTGACACGTCGAGTTCAGTTTCTGGCCAGTGATAACACCAGGGATGTTGATAGTGAGGGATTCAGCAATGATAATGTGATTGAACATCAAGGGACAATAGTTGGATTCTCACTTATCGAGATGGCCATTACCTGCACTTGTATAGCACAGATGTTGCTTGCCACTTACCAACCTAAGCATGAATATTGTCCAGGTCTTGCTGCATTTGGATACAGACTTCTCCAGTACCTAGCAGCTGTCAATGCTGCTGTAAGTTACGCAATTGTCGACATTCTGATCTCTGACCTTGTGTATAGCAACACCTGAAGGTTGTTGGGTTTAGAACATTACCCTGGGTATACTTTTAATGACGTTCTATGGCTGAAGTAATTGAACCCCATTAACCACAATCATCTTCCCTTGGGCTAGGTATGACTCTAACCAACAAGAGCTTTCCTGCTGTTTCCCATTGACTCTAGATTTGCTAGAGTTTCTTTGACGCCACACTTGATCCAATACTGCCTTGGTGTCGAGGGCTTCACCCTTGTTTCCTCTCTTGAGCTCAGTTGTTTTGAATGTCAGTGAATGTGCTGTTGTTAGGTGCTGCTTGACAGTACTCTCAACACACATGATGTCACTTTGCTACTAATTGACTGTTGACTGCGTTGGTAATTGATTAGGTTGGATCTGTATTACTTTTTGTTTACAGGACAAATCTGGTAATTTTTCATATCGCTAGGTAGTTTCCAGTTTTATAGCTGGACTGAAATAGCTTTGCTAGGTATGCAGCTAGTTTTAAGGTGCAGATCTTTGGTATTAACACCAGAATGTTGTCAGGGCCAATAGCCTTTACAGTATCCAGTACATTTTGCTGTTTCTCTACCATGTGGAGTGAATTGAATTTGTGAAGACTGCCATCTGTGATGCTTGGGACCTGAGGAGGAGGCTGAGATGCACTGCTCATTTCTGGCTGATGATTGATGCAAACACTTTAGTCTTGCCTCTCTTGCACTGATGTGCTGAGTGACCCATTGTTGGGGATGGGGTATTTGTTGAGCCTCTTCCTGCTGTTCATTGATAAATTGTCCAGCACTATTCATGACTGTATGTGGAAGGACTGTAGAGAGTAGATCTGATCCTTTGGTTGTGAATTGCTTAGCTCTGTCTATTCCATGCTCCATCCACTGTTTGGCGTACAAGTTGTCTTATGTTATAGCTTCCAAATAGCTTCCTATATGTTGACATATGTTTATATATGTCTGGTGTTATACCTGGTACGTCCTTCTACACTCTTTGAATCAGGGTGGATTTCCTGGCTAATTTTGATTAGTAATGGAGAATACAAAACACCAAAGTATTACAGAATGTGGTTGAGTGCAAATCTGTGACTGTTTAGGCCTTATAGGTAGTAGATCTCTTTGAAATTTAACACCTCCAACATAGAATAGTGATGGAGTGCATCCTCAATTTGAAGGTGGAACATTGTCTCCAAAAGGATTGTGTGGTAGACCCTTGTACTGACATTGTCACAGATGCATCTGTTACAAGTAGATTGGTGAGGGTGAGGTTGAGTACGTTCTTCCCTCTTGGGCCCTTAACACCTGCTACAGGCACAATCTAGCAGCTTTGTCCTTAAGGACTTGACCAGCTTGATCAGTAATGGTGCTCTGAGCCACACTTGGTGATAGTTGTTGAAGTTCTCCTCCTAGAGTGCGTTTTGTGCCTTTCCCCTTTCACTGCTTCAGAGAGTGTTATTTGACATGGAAGAGAGCTAATTCATCAACTGAGGAAGTCAATACGTTGTAAACAACAGAAGGGCTTTCCTTGCTCATTTTGCAACTTCATGGGATCTCGAGTCAATAATCCCACCCAACTGGATACAACTGTGTACCATGTGTACACAAGCTCGTGTTTTTCTGCATTAGTCATTTGATGTATGTGTGTACAGCTGATTTTACACATGTAGTTCAGAATATTAGATAACACAGTGTGGAGCTGGAGGAACACAGCAGGTCAGACAGCATCAAAGGAACAGGAAGGCTGACGTTTCAGGTCGGGACCCTTCTTCAGAAAGTTCAGAATATTTATGGCTGTACTTGTGTGTGCATTTGAATATGTTTATGGTTTGTGTAGGATTTTACCGAACACATTAATTCAGCAAAAGTTGCTATTTTACATAATGACCACCAGATTTAGCAATGATTAATCTGTATGTAGATGTGTGTATCTGTGGATACGTTTGCATGTTCACGGTTATGTTTGTGGGGCTATTTATTCATTCATCTGGCCCACTGTTTTGTTGGTTATAATGTTGTAATATCTTTCTACTTTCCAGATCTTGCACAAGATTGATAAGGAGGGTGAGAGATTGCAAAGGCCTGAAGACTGTCCTCAGGATATTTACAATGTGCTGCTGCAGTGCTGGGCACATAAACCTGAAGATCGACCCACATTCATGGCACTCCGAGACTTTCTGATTGAGGCAAGTGAACATAAAACAACGTAAACTTGCGTTTATATAGTTCCTTCATTGTTGTAAAATTTCCAGAGGTAAATTACAGGACTACAGCAACAATATATTTGGAAACAATGCCCAAGGGAGAAAATGACGCTAGTTGTCTCTGGATTCCTACCAGTGCCACGTGGTAACGAGGTAAGAAATAGGGAGAGAGTGCAGCTAAACACGTGGCTACAGGGCTGGTGTAGGAGGGAGGGCTTCCATTATGTGGATAATTGGTGCATGTTCTGGGGAAGGTGGGACTTGTACAGTAAGGACGGGTTGCACCTGAACTGGAAGGGCACAAATATCCTGGGAGGGAGGTCTGCTAGAGCTGTACGGGATGGTTTAACCTAGTTTGGCAGGGGCTGGGGAACCGGATTTATAATTCAGAGGATGAGGTATTCGGCTTTCCAACAGACACAACAGGGAGTGAGGTGGTTTGTAAAGAAATGCAGTCGATGGAGCGTAATTGCAGACACCGAGATGGTTTGCGGTGTGTATACTTCAATGCTAGAAGTATCAGAAATAAAGCGGATGAACTTAGAGCATGGGTCGGCGCTTGGAACTACGATGTTGTGGCCATTACAGAAACTTGGGTAACTCAGGGAGAGGAATGGTTGTTGGAAGTTCTGGGATTTAGATGCTTTAAAAGAAATAGGGAGGGTGGAAAAAGAGGTGGGGGAGTGGCGTTGCTCGTCAGGGCGAGTATAGCAGCTACTGAAAGGCAGTTCGAGAATGACATGTCTACAGAGTCAGTTTGGGTTGAGATCAGGAACAAGAAAGGAGCAGTCACTTTGTTGGGGCTTTTTTACAGACCCCCTAATAGTTGCAGAGAAGTGGAGGAGCGGATTGGGAGGCAGATACTGGAAAGGTGCAGAAGTCACAGGGTTGTTGTCATGGGTGACTTCAACTTTCCAAATATTGATTGGAAACATTTTAGTTGTAATAGTTTAGATGGAGCAGATTTTGTCCAGTGCGTTCAGGAAGGATTCCTGACACAGTATGTAGATAGACCAACACGAGGAGAGGCCACTTTGGATTTGGTGCTTGGCAACGAACCGGGCCAAGTGTTAGACCTGTTGGTAGGAGAGTATTTTGGCGGTAGCGATCATAACTCTGTTTCTTTCACGATAGTCATGGATAAGGCTAGGTACATATGGCAGGGTAAAGTTTATAATTGGGTAAAGGGTAATCACAATTCAGTTAGGCAAGAACTGGATAACATAAGTTGGGAACAGATGTGTCAGGGAAGAGCACCACAGAAATGTGGAAATTGTTTAAGGAACGCATACTGCATGTGCTCGATATGTTTGTCCCTAGCAGGCAGAGAAGATGCGGTCGAGTGAGGAAGCCATGGTTCTCAAGAGAGGTCGAACGACTGGTTAAGAGCAAGAAGGAGGCTTATGTAAGGTTTAGGAAAAAAGGAACGGAAAAGGCTTCTAGAGGGATACAAGTTAGCCAGGAAGGAGCTGAAGAAAGGGCTTAGGAGAGCTATAAGGGGGCATGAGAAAACCTTGGCGGATAGGATCAAGGAAAACTTCAAGGCTTTTTACACGTATGTGCAGAACAAGAGAATGACCAGAGAAAGGGTAGTGCCGATTAAGGATTGTAAAGGGAATTTGTGCACAGAGCCTAAAGAGATAGGAGAGGTCCTTAACGAATACTTTTCTTCAGTATTCACAACTGAGAGGGACCTAGTTGTAGAGGAGGACGTTGTGAAACAGGCAGGTAGGCTAGAGGAGGTTGATGTTAGTAAAGAAGATGTGCTAGGAATTCTGAGGAAGTTGAAGACAGATAAGTCCCCTGGGCCTGATGGGATTTATCCAAGGATTCTATGGGAAGCGAAGGACAAGATCGCAGGGCCTTTGGCGATGATCTTTCTGTCCTCACTGTCCACAGGTATAGTGCCAGAAGAATGGAAAGAGGCAAACGTCATTCCCTTGTTCAAAAAAGGGAACAGGGATAACCCCGGAAATTATAGGCCAGTTAGTCTTATGTCAGTGGTGGGCAAATTATTGGAAAAGGCTCTGAGGGACAGGATTTATGATCACTTGGAAAGGCACAGTTTGATTCGTGATAATCAGCATGGATTTGTGAGGGGTAGATCATGCCTCACAAACCTTATTGAATTGTTTGAAAAGGTGACCAAACATGTGGATGAAGGTAGAGCAGTGGATGTGGTATACATGGATTTAAGTAAGGCGTTTGATAAGGTTCCCCATAGTAGGCTCATGCAGAAGGTAAGGAGGTATGGGATAGGGGAAAATGTGGCAGATTGGATTCAGAATTGGCTGACCCTTAGAAGACAAAGGGTGGTAGTGGACGGAAAATCTTCAATATGGTGCTCAGTTACGAGTGGTGTACCGCAAGGATCTGTCCTGGGCCCTATTCTGTTTGTGATTTTTGTAAATGATTTGGATGAAGGAGTGGAAGGGTGGATTAGCAAGTTCGCGGACGATACGAAGGTGGGTCACGTGGACAGTGCGGAGGGCTGTTCTAGGTTACAAAGGGACATTGATAGAATGCAGAGCTGGGCTGAGAAGTGGCAGATGGAGTTTAACCCTGAAAAGTGTGAGGTGATTCATTTTGGAAGGACAAACTTGAAAGCAGAATACAGGGTTAACAGAAAGATTCTTGGCAGTGTGGAGGAGCAGAGAGATCTTGGGGTTCATGTTCACAGTTCCCTGAGAGCTGTCACCCAGGTGGATAGAGTTGTTAAGAAGGTGTACGGTGTGTTAGCTTTCATTAATAGAGGGATTGAGTTCAAGAGCCGTGAAGTTATGCTCCAGCTATACAAAACCCTGGTTCAGCCACATATGGAGTATTGTGTCCAGTTCTGGTTACCTCATTACAGGAAAGATGTGGAAGTGTTAGAAAAGGTGCGGAGGAGATTTACCAGGATGTTGCCTGGAATGGAGGGAAGATCTTACGAGAAAGGTTGAGAGAGCTAGGGGCTTTTCTCTGTAGAACGACGAAGGATGAGAGGTGACTTGATAGAGGTGTGCAAAATGATCAGAGGTATAGATAGAGTAGACAGCCAGAGACTTTTTCCTAGGGTGGAGGTAGCTTTTACGAGGGGACATAGTTTTAAAGTGAAAGGAGGTAGATATCGGGGAGACGTCAGAGGTAGGTTCTTTACTCAGAAAGTGGTAGGGGCGTGGAATGCATTGCCGGAGAGGGTAGTGGAGTCAGCCTCATTAGGGGCATTTAAGCGGCTATTAGATAGGCATATTGATGATAGTATAAGGTAGCGGTGGAGGTTAGATAGACTTTAGGTTTAGGGTAAAAGTTTGGCACAACATCGTGGGCCGAAGGGCCTGTGCTGTGCTGTTCTGTTCTATGTTCTATGACAAAAAGTTATGTCAAAGAGCTAGCTTTTTAAAGAGCTTCAGAAGAGGAAAGAGAGAGGTGGAGAGATTTTAGGATGCTGTTCCAGAATTTGGAACCCTGACAATTGAGAGTGTGGCAATGGTGATGTAGCAATTGAAATCGGGCAGGCCAGAACTGGAAGAGTGCAAAGACCTCAGTGGATTGGGGGACTGGAGGAAATTGCAGAGATGTTGGAATAGTTTGGGGAATTGGGGACATGATGGTGATGGTTGTCGCAAGGCTGTGAAAGGATTTGAAAATGAGAATTCAAAATTTTAAATCATTTCTTGTCTGGGAACCAGTGTAGATAGAGGAAGACGAGATGGTCCAGTGGCAATGCTCCATTATGGTGCTTGCACAAACCGTAAAATTGTCCAGCTAAATACAACATGTGTGTGGCAAGAGTAAGATGCACAGGTTGCACACAAGAATGATAAAGTTTAGAGGGAACATTTGTGAGTAGGAGTTCATATGTGTTAGCACATGGGTTGTAGTTTGCAATTGGTAAAACATCTGTGGGTTTGTCAGGAGTGTGTTGAAATAATTAAGCAAAGAGGCAATAAATGCCTGGATGAGGATTTCAGCAGTGGATAAGTTAAGGCAAGGGAAGAGTTACAGGTGAAAATAGGCATTCTTTTTGTGGCTATATGATATATTTGGGTCTAATATGATATCAAGATTGTGAACAGTTTGATTCAGTCTCAAGACTTGCCACAGAGATGTGGTGTTAGTGACAATTGAATGGAGTTTGTGATCAAGACCAAAGGCAATGGCTTCTGTAATCCCACAATTTAATTTCCTGATTTGTCTGCTCATCCAGTATTGAATTTTGGAGAAGGAGTCTGAACATAGATTTAGGAAGGACATGAAGAGGGGGCAATGAAAGCTTAACTAAAGGCACAATTTCATCATCTGAGGTGGGACAGTAAGAAGGATGGAACGGACATTGGAGAGATTATCCTCTGGCCGTTGCACAGGTTGGAAAGGGCTGAGAGAGAATAGGATGAAGAAATAGAAGTTGCTGCTGATTAAAAGCCAACTAATGTGTACCTCCAGAGAAGTTTAGAAGAGGTTCTAGGATTACATAAACATATATAATTATAATTACATGCAGGCAAACCAATCCTGAGAAGGGGAGGCAATGACCTGGTGGTATTGTCGCTAGACTATTAATCCAGAGACCCAGATAACATTCTGAGGACCTGGGCTCGAATCCCACCACGGCAAATAGTAGAATTTGAATTCAATAAAATATCTGGAATTAAGAATCTAATGATAACCATGAATCCATTGTCGATTGTTAGGGGAAAAACCCATCTGGTTCGCTAATGTCCTTTAGGGAAGGAAACTGCAATCATTACATTATCTGGCTTAAATGCAACTCCAGACCCACAGCAAAGTGGTTGACTCTCAACTGGGGATGGGCAATAAATGCTGCCTAGCCAGTGACACTCTTGTCCCATTAATGAATAAAGCAAAAAAAATGATGACAGCAGGAAAGATGATAACTGTTGAAGAATTGAAGTTTGTGAAGTTGAATGATCTGAAGGCAAAGAAAAGAAAGGAGACATGATAGTTGGAGGTGGGGTAGGGAGAAAAGGGGAGAAAGTAGACAAGGGGTGAAATAGAAGTGATGAGTTTAATTTCAGAGTGCAGTTCAAATGTACATGATTGCACATAGGGAAATACTAAGCAAGGTTGCTAATTAAATCAGGAGAGCTTAGCTTTAGAATACATGGATAAAGAGAGGAGTTATCAAGTGATTAAAAACTAGATTTAGAGTCGAAGTTGATTTAGAGAACCTAGCTTTGAATTGTGCTGTGGATAATTTGACAGACCACTAGGAGACTCAGGCATAGGTTACAATTGTTTATTCAAGCACACACAAGGGAAAGTCAGACTTAAGCAGGTGTTCACTTCTTAATGTATTCCCGTAGTCAAGTACAGAATCAATCGCTGAATTCTGCAACTTAAAATCTCGGGCTAAACAGACTTCTGTTCCCGTGTATGTATACATTGGGCAATATTCTTGTCTACACAAGGTTTCTCACATCTCACTAATTCTATAGTCTAGGCTGCCTCCTTGTTTCTATCACCTACACCCTGGCCTGGCCCTTTTCTGGTCTCTTCTGCTTGTCTTATTTCACTAAAAGATGCTTCTAACTGAAAGTGTATACCTCATTGAATTGAAGACCAGATTTTGAGATGCGTGAGTAGAAATAGGCAGTTCAATGTGCAGGCCAACAAGGCATGTTTGACTAAAAGAAAACTTGAACTTTTTTCCGTATCATTCTTAAAATAGTTGCTGCTGTAGCCAAGTGTTCAACTGGTGCCTTTGGACGACTCCCTTTTGAAATCACTGCAGATACATCTGAATAGCTGGAAATAATGAGGCACCATATTCTACAACTGTCAAAACTATTGATCAAGTTGTTGTTGACTCAGTAGTTTGGATTTGAAAGACAGTAGCCAGAGATAATTAGCTTTTCCTAAAATTATTATTTTGGATGCTTAACTTCAACGAGAAAAATGAAAACAGTTTTTTGAAATTAACCATAACTGTATTGTAGATTGGTGGCTCTGTCAGCACCAATGTTGTCAATTTGTTACTTCACCTGTTCAGGTGATTAATTGACAGCCACATTTAAACCTGAAAGAACAAGTAGAATTAATAGTAATTGTGCTAAATTAAAGATGTCACTATTCTTAGCAATATGGGAAGTTGAAACAGACAAAATGCAGACATACTGCAGGTAGTGAGGATCGAAAAGATGAATTATAATTTAGAAAATTTTAGAACTAGGTTTTATTGTCATGTGTACTCAAGTACAAGTGAAAAGTGTGCAAAGTCACCATTCACTGACGCCATCTTAGGTCCAAAAACCAGAATTTAAAAAAAAGCAACCATCTTAAATACAAAAACCAAAACAATCATCCAAGATACAAAAACCAGAATTAAAAGAAAACAGAATCAGAAATACGAAAATAAACCAAGAAGAGAGGGAATGGCTTATGTCCATGTCAAGAAAAGGCTGAAAAGTTTAATTAAAAATAGTTTGTTCTCTGAACCCAAAGTTAAATTTCAGAACAGTCCTAAGCAGAGTAAGCAGGTTAGGTCCATCAAAACTTGAAATCACTGCTAGAGCACTGTACAAAGGCTGCAGGTGAGCATAAATGGCTCTAATGTGGGCTATTCGTACAGAATCTATACTTAGTTTTCAGCTTAAATACAGAATTTTCTACAAAGCTCCCAAATGTTCAGAACCTTTTCCTTTCTCCCTGTCCTTCCTGCGCAGGCTTCTGCTTTTAGTTTCAGGCTGTTCTGGGAATGTTTCTGTGTTTATAGATCGAAATAGGTTCTATCTTTTGATGTTAACTTGTCCTGGTTCTCATTTTTTAAAATGATTTATCAATCCAGTGCAAAGCAATACATTGTTCGAGCAATTGAGTTTTTTTTTATCTGCAGTGCTTTTAAAAAAAAATGTTTTTATCACATAGGCCCAGCCTACTGACATGCGAGCACTGCAAGACTTCAGTGAAGTGGACAAACTGCAGATTCAGATGAATGATGTTATCACAGTCATCGAGGGCAGGTATGTGTCTACAAATTACACATGCAACAGTATTTCATTGTCTGTAAACCAATGGCATACTGCTGATTTCATCCAGCAATGTAGATTGTTTATTCTGTTTTGCCTTTAGTGCCCTGGGTTAGATGAGGAAAAGCTTCTGCTGCTTTGTTCACTAATTAAGAAACCTTGTGGGGAGTGCATATGGAGTATAGTGATTGTAACAAGGTCAGCCAAGTAGACCTCATAGAATATGAATTCCCTGATTGGGACTGTTAATCGAGTCCAATCAGGGAGCCCTGGCTGACAGATAAGAACAGGAATGTCAGACATCCTGTTGATGCTGAAAGCTGGCTCTGAGAGAGCTGGCTCGGTGTTAAGGATTTTTCATGTGTAAATAAAGGATGACTGGTGATGGGATACTGGCTTCTGTGGAATTATTTCAGTGGTGACGAGAGTGGGATTAATGATGTAACCATGCACAAAGACCTACTAGCTGAAGTCCGAATGGAGCTCAAACAGACACTACAACTGGCTTTATCATTTGCAAATGCAAGAAGTGGAGCATTTGAGTTGCAGGACATTCCAATGGAAGTGGGCATCCTCGCCAGTCTGACTGAGCTTGGGAAACACCACTGAGTGAAGGCAATTGCACAGCCTCATTCAGGACATATCCCAAACAGAGGGACTCTAGGCTAGCACACAGCAAAACAAAGCCAACCTTGGCCAAATGGTTAAAATTTTCTTCAGGATTGGGGTCGGCAAGCCATTGTAGTTGCTGCCAGTATGCAGACTCGAGATGGCAAAACAGTCCCACTGGACCTAGATTGAGTAAGAGAACTGATTGGCCAATAACCAGGAGAATGCATGCCCTAGAAAGTCCACCTACATCTGATTTGGAGCAGTTAAATTGCTTAGCAACATCCAAATCAGAACCAATCCAAATAAATGTCTGGTTAAATGGTCACCCAGTTCTAATGAAGTTTGAAACCATCTCAGCTGTCTCAGTCATCACAGAACCAGTCTTTAATAAAATTTTCTTTGGACTCCAACTCTTAAGTTTTGCACAAGACCTTGGCTAGACTGAGAACCTATAGTGGGGGATCTTTGCAGATTAAAGGGACAATTTCGGTTCCAGTCTCTTACAAGAAGCAGTTGATTCAGTTGCCACGGATTGTAGAAAACGCTCGGAGCCAAGCTTGATGGTGCGAAATTAGTTAAGAAAGAGTCACCTATATTGGCTCAATATTTTTCGATTAGAAAATGGCTGCCTGACTGAAGTCATAAATAAATACCTGGAAGTTTTTTCAGGAAGGTGTAGGGACTATCAAAGGAGCCAAGGCCACCTTGCACATTGACCAGGAAGCAATTTGACGATTATGCAAGGCCTGCCCAGTGCTATTTGCCTTATGGGCAAAAGTACAGGCAGAAATCAGAAGGCTGGAAAGTGATGGAATTAACAAGCCAGTACAGTTTGTGGAACAGGCAGTACCAGTCGTACCAATTGTGAAGCCCGATGGGTCGGTTCGTCTTTGTGGAATTTTAAACAAATGGTAAACTGCTTTTTGCAGCCGGATAAATACCCAATCACTGACATAAAGGACTTTTATGCAAAGCTGGCAGGGGGTGCTGTCCTTCATAAAGCTGGACATGAGCCATGTGTACTTGCAGTTGTGGTTAGATGAGAATTCCCAGGAGTATGCTAGAATTAATATGCATAAGAGTTTGTACCAATATACGTGACTGATATTTGGGGTATAGTCAGCCTGTGCTATTTTTCAGCGGACAATGGGGAATATTTCATAAGGTCTACCCCAGGTCACCATTTTATATGGATGACGTGGCTCCGATGTCTGTACAGAGCTTAGATTTTTCCTTGAGCTGATGAACTAGTACGGGGGCAAGTTCATACATAACCTGGCATCTATCCTGGTACCTTTGCATTAACTCTCAAAAAGGGATCAGCTTTGGCGATGGTTTCATAGCTGAGCTGTAGTTTTCAGGGAAGAGAAGAAACAGCTATCATCCTGTAAGGTGTTGGCACACTGTGATCTGAAGCAGAATCTGGTACTGACATGAGATGACTCCCTATATGCCATTGGGGTAATATTAACTCATAGGTGGACCAATGAAGAAGAATGCCCAACAGCGTATGCATCAAGGACTTTGGCTAACACTGAGCGTAAATACGCCCAGAGAGAGAAGGAAGGTTTGGCAGTCATATTTGTAGTCAGAAAGTTCCACCAATACTTTTACAGACATTAATTTGTAATAATAAAGGACCACAAAGTCCTGCTAGTTCTAATTAAAGAGGACAAGACAGTGCCACCCATAGTTTCAGACTGAATTCAGCGGTGGGCTCTAATATAAGTACTAGTATTATTACATGTTAGAACACTGCCTGGGAGACCAAGTAGCAAATGGAGCTGCATTGAGCTGCTTCCCACTGGCAGATACACTACTGGTTGTACCACCACTGGAAGAGTCCATAATTGTTTTAAATTTTCTGGACGCACTTCTAGTCACAACTGACAATATCAGACTTTGAACACAAAGATCTGGTCCTGGCAAAACTGAAACAGCTGGTGGTGATGGGGGAAGCCAAAGGGCCGTCACAACCAGAATTGGAACATTTTGGACCCAAAGAGACCAGATCCCAGGAGAGGACGGCATATTATTATGGGAAGCAAGAGTGATTGTCCCGAGCAAAGGTTGCTGCCAGAGACTGGCTGAACTGCACCAGGGTCATCCAGGGGCTTCCAAAATGAAGATGTTTTTGAGAAGTTACTTCTTTGTTTCTTTATTCATTCGCAACATGAGGGTGTCACTGGCTAGGTGGCATTTATTGCCCATCCCTAATTGCCCAGAGGAAAGTAGAGTCAACCACATTGCTGTGGGCCTGGAGTTACATATAGGCCAGACCAGGTAGGGATAGCAGCTTCCTTCCCTAAAGGACATTGATGAACCAGATGGCTTTTTTTTTTCCTGACGATGAGCAATGGATGCATCGTCATCATTAGGCTCTTAATTCCAGATATTTATTGAATTCCCTCATCTGCCGTAGTGAGATTTGAACCAGGATCCCCAGAATATTATCTGGGTTAACAGACCAGCAATAATACCACTAGGCCATCACCTTCCCTCTTGGTAGCCAGGATTGGATGCAGACATAGCTGCATTGATGGGCCAGTGCCCAGGATACCAGCGAGGACAAAAATTACCACCAGCAGCTCCCCCACGTTTATGGGAATGGCCAGGTAAACCCTGCATCCCACTACAGGTCAACCGTGCAGATCCTTTCACAAGCTCAATATTCTTAGTTATTGTGGGCACCCAATAAGAGTAGCTGGATGTGCATAGAGTTCATTTGTCAAACATGGGGACAACGTTAGAAAAACTGCACACATCTTTTGCAATAAATGGACTCCTGGAAGTGTTGGTCACAGATAATGGGTCATCATTTACCAGCAGGGAATTTGAATATTTCCTAAATTTGAATGGTATTCGACATATAAGGACAGCTCTATACCATCCATTACCCAATGGTCTGGCAGAAAGAGCAGTGCAAACTTTGAAGGCAGGCTTAAAGAAACAGCCCACGTCTTCACAAGATACCAAACTGTCCTGGTTCCTATTTGATTATAGGACCACCCCTCATGCAACTACAGGGATATCTCCAGCAAAGTTGCTAATAGGGAGAAGACTCCACACCAGGTTAAATCTGATCTTCCTGGACCTGTCGGGAGGGTGAAATGGCATCATGAACGCCAGTGCCAGACACAAGACTCTGCTAAGCAAGAGAGACAGTTTACTTCAGGGGACTACGTTTGGTGTAGGAACCATGGGAATGGCCCTGCATGGATAAGCGGCATGCTCGAGGCAAGGTCAGGTCCAGTGACACATAAAGTTTGGGTAGTTGCGATGATTGTGAAGAAGCACATGGACCACATGAAAGCTACAAACTCACAAATGATGCAGGAGCAAAATGTGCCCAGCTCCTCGACAGCTTTTCCAAGTGTTGCGGAACACGTCGGTTCACCCCCTCCATCGAGCATTGAAGATACCTCGGAATCTGAGATGGACATGGATGTCACTGCCTTTACCACCTGAAGAAGAGGATGAATTTCTTCCGAGATACTTCTGGTGCAAGAGGTGAGCTACTGTGCGTTACACATTGGCCATATCAGAGGCAGAGTTGGAGGAACTTGCTAAGATGCCGCAGGAGGACCTCCATAAAACAAGAACTGGCCTACGTCCTTGGATTCAGAGGGGGAGTATTTAGTAAATGTAATGAGGTCAGCCAGGTGGACCTCATAGAATGAATTCCCTGATTGGACCAGATTAACAGTCCCAGTCAGGGAACCCTGGCTGGCAGATAAGAACGGGAATGTCAGACATCCTGTTGACGCTGAGAGCTGGCTCTGAGGGAGCTGGATCAGTGTTAAGGACTCTCCACATAAAAATGTAGGGTACTTGGTGATGTGATACCGGCCTGACTGGAGTTATTTCAGTCAACATTATGTGAAGACAGGATTGACTTGCTAAAAATCTCATACATATCTGATGTAAAATTGAGCCCAAAGCACTGAAGGACATATGTAAAATTATCTTGGTAAGGAGTTGACAACTTTAGGAAAAGAAAGAAGAAACTTACCTGAGTAAGAATCAGGAGGTTTTTTTTTCTTAATGTAAAAACAAGTACAATAACAACCCAGTGATCAGCAGAACTTTATGGTTTTTCTCCTTTTATAAGGAACAAGTTCTTTGATTATTTTCTTTGTTTAATTTTGGTATCAGAACAGAAAAGCAAAGAGATAGTGCTGTAGTTATTTACAAATATCTGTGTAAAGAAGGTAATACTATTATTTTAACCAACAAACTAACAAGGACGGAAGTTAACAAATTCTGACAAAAGTACCTCTTTGGAAAATTGAAGTTTGTGCTTAATGAGATAAATGAGTTCCAGGTGGATTTAACTGGAAGTTTCATATTGAGTGTAAATAGGAATTTGTAGGTCCCCATCT